AGAATTCCCAGTGAACATCTCTAACTTCCAGATACACACATATACATGTGCACCTGCATACATATGTGCACACACACACACACACACACACACACACACACACACACACACCAATTGCTTAGTGAGGATAGGACAAGATAAGCCTAATCAACATAAAATTATTTATAGACAATGTATTGACAAATTGTGTTTACAATCTGTATCCTAGATTGTAGGGGATCCAAGTCTAAAAATTTAGGCTGCCTTAAAAATGAACTTTTTAATGGTAGGAACCATAGTAGAGCTGTATCAATTAACAAAGGCACTTACAATTTTGTGGGGTTCTTTTTCTAGTAAATTTCCAGGACTGCATACATTTTGAAATACATATATTGAATTCTCTCCAAATGTTCAGAGAGTCGGGTCTTAGAACAGCTAATTAGGTAACTCTGACCTTCGCCATGAACTGTCTGGCCCAGGTGTTGCATTCCCTACTTTTGGGGTCGTCTAGTGTCAGTAAACATCAACAGTCTCCTGTTTCTTCCTAGGGGACTCTCAGGATTATAGGCTCGAGTTTATCTTCATAATTTGTATATTTCATCAATCAGTTCATTTTCATAACTATAAATTATTTGGCTCAGAAATTCTGAGTGGTAAAATAGTCAGAAAATAGATCCATTCCGATTACTCTCATTTTACTGTCAAAAAACCTAAAATGTGAAATATCTGGATTCCTGCCATTGCCCAGGTGGGCTTTGCAGTGTCAACAGAGGGAGAGCAGAGTGCTTACTTCAACTTGCCATAGTGTCCATCTAGCAGCTGCTTTGGGATGTCCTTCTGTGCTCTGTGAATGTGTGTTGCCCTCATTGTTAATAATAAAGCTGATTGGCTGTATCCAGGCAGGAAGTATGGGTGGAACAACCAAACTAAGAAGGAGAAGAGAGTGGCAGAGTCAGGCAGACACTAACCAGCCGTTGAGGAAGCAAGACATGTAAAAAAAAAATGAAATAACAAGCCACCAACCACGTGGCTAAACTTGGACAATAATTATGGGTTAATAAGTGTAAGAGCTAGCTAGTAATAAGCCTAAGCTATCAGCCAAACATTTATAATTAATATAAGCCTTTGAGTGATTATTTGAAAGCAGCTGTGGGACTGGGCACGACAGAAATGCCTCCATTTACAAGCAGTTAAGTACACAGAGATAGATGGTTGTTTAAAAAATAAAAATAATCACTGTTCTCTGAAGTAAGGTCACATTCATTGTGTGTTTGGGAGGGTTGTTCAAGACATAAATGTTTACTACAGTTATTTTCAAGTGGAGCCTCTTACATCCCACTTCTAATGTACCCAGGACTCATTTTCTTGTTCTAAGCTTGCTTCTCTTCCTGTGTTCTCCAACTTGGCATCACGTGTCATTTGTCACATGCTCTGAAGATCGCACATTCCCTTTCGATGCCTTTCCTTACCTGTTATGCTGAAGGTCAACAAAGCCAACCCACCAATGCCCTGATATCTCTTTTATTGCCAATCCTGAATCCTGTTTCCCCTCTTGTCACTCCTGGGATGTGCTCAGCATTGCATCTCTCCTGGGCTATTGGACAGAGACCTTCTCAAGAACCCCTTGTCTCCATACTCCCTTCACCTTCCATACTACTCAAAGAAGTCCCTTCCCCCAAACACACAGTTGCTTTTGAAAGAGTGATTACTTTCTAATTGGAAACCAAGAACCTAAAAAACAAACAAAAACTTTGAGCTCATGGTCTCCTGTTGTCATTGTATGTGAGCTAAGCTGTAGTTAGCTTGGACTACTCTGATTCTATTGAGAATTTTCATACTTTCACGTCCCTAGATGCATGCCACTCTACCTACTTTCTCTTGGTAAATATTTTTTCCTCACTCAGATCACTAATGCCTCCTCTCAAAGCTTTCTCTAATTCCATAAGTATTCATTGAGCACCCCTAAGAAGAAGAATTTTAGACCCCAAATGCCCAATTTCAGATTCCCTATATTTTCTCCTTCACAAATATTTGGAAATGGCCAAATATGTCCCAAAGGCCACACTGGGCTAGGAACACAAAGCAAGATAAATAAGGCAAATTTCATGGAATTTTTATTTTATTGAAGAAAATAAACAATAGCTTAAAAACAGGTTTATTTCAAATAGATGAGAATAACATGTGTGAGTAATCAGGAAGATAAAGTTTTGAGTTAAAGGGTTAGGGACTTTTGGGAAACAAATGGCAGGAGGGCTGTAAGAGCCAGAGGTGGTAAATAACCTCAAGGAAATTCGATTTCTGGGTACAACAGGCAGCTGTACATGTGAACTCACCATGATTGTAACAGTGTGCATAAGATCTGTGCGAGTTCAAGCCAGGCAAAATGCCATCACAGGACGGGGAGGGATGGCTGTGAAATCTACCACTACCTGAAGAACTACTGTCAGTTGATAGTCTCCGGGAGATGGAGAGTCCATTTTCTTTAGGGAAGTGACCCACGGTAAGTCGACCACACTTCAGGGCACACCCCACTTCCAAGAGTAGCTGAGTACAAAAACTGAATACAGTGGGTTTAAGGAAAAGGGGAAGAGGAGGAGGGAGGGAGAAGGAGGAGGAGGGAAAGAAAAGGAAGAGGGAGGAGAAGGTGGAGGAGGGAGATGGAGGCTGGAGAGATGGCTCCATGTTTAAGTGCATCAGCCGCTCTTCCAGAAGATCCAGGTTCAATTCCCAGCACCCACATGATGGCTCATAACTGTTTGCAACTCTGATCACAAGAGATCCAGTGCCCCCTTCTGGCCTCTCTAGGTACTACACAAATGAGTGGTGTGTAGACAGCCATGTGGGCAGAACTCCATTACACACATTTTGTAAATAAAATAAACCTGCAAATAAAGTAAATCTTAAAAAAATTAAAGAAAGAAAAACCAAAGCTGAGTGAATTTTCCAACTTTGTTTTATTTTATAATTAGGATTTCAGCTCAAATATTACTTTTTAAGAGATATTATTTGTCCATTAACAAGGAACATCAAAGTGTCCTTCATAGCTCTGATTCCTCACACATACTACTCTGTTCTAGGAGAAGGACAGTGAGGGAGGATCTGTAAGGAGTCGGGGAAGAGAGTGAATATGATCAAAATATGTTGCATGAAATTCTCAAAAAAGTAATAAAACGTTTTTTAAAATGTTTGTCAAAATAAATTTTGTTTTGTTGGGGGTTTGTTTGCAGCCATTGGTGTAACACGCTTTAAATAGGTGACTCTTCATTATTTAAACTCCCGAGCTTACTTTAGGGAACATTTCAGGAGCTTTTACACCTAAACAAACTGGTTTCCTCTATTGCACCATAATAAGTAAATCCATATTTCTGTGTCCTGAAACAGAAATTGTTTATCTCTCAGGAAAAACACGGGGATGAATGACCCACGTTGGTCTTATCTGGATAGGTTTTAACTCTTGGGTTTCTCTCACCCCTTTCTTCCCGTGAGAATGACAGAGGTTCAAAAACAAGCTGCACCGTGTGAGTGGCTTTCAATAACTCTGCTTACAGCACATCTGTTACCATGTCATGGGCCAGAGCATGTCCCATGGCTGAGCACAGGTGCCCTGACTTAGCCATGTGGTAGACTATGTGCTATATGTATGTGCATATCTATAGAGTGCGAATGTATGATGTATACATTGTATGTGAAAACATACAATTACACGTAATGATCTACATAAATGTTCATTGCCTTCTAGTCTGAGTACGTTGCTCCTTTTGACCTCTGTGTACATCTGCACTTTCAACCTCTGCTTCACAGATTTTAAGGGGCATCTCTAGTCTTTCTGGATGGGCACTGTTCTGGGAGTGGAGCCGTCACAGAAGGAACAGTCGGCGATCTTCTAGACAGTTCTTCAGATGGAAGGAAAACCTCGAAGGAATGTATTCCAATTCACACCCAGAGAAGGAAGCGGCGCTTCTCCCCCGCTTACTGCAGGCTTTTAGGCATGGGGGCATAAAATATGGCTGCAGCATTCTTTTAAATCCTTTTAAGCGGCAGTCATCCTCCTCTGCCCCCTCCTTGGTACTATTAAGCCCTTCGCAGGTATCCATCGTTGGGAAGTAGGAAGAACTGCACTTTAAAAGGATTTTAAATAATGTCTCCAAGAAATATAGCCGCAGATTGTTCGGTGTAGATTACCGGCCAAGAGTGTGCTTAAGGGGGAGGGTTCTCTTTGAAAAGGTCTTTAAATAATGTAAGTGTGCTTCTTGGCAACGTTTCCCAGAAGCATTTAAAGAACAGCCATCTCTGCCACACCTATCCACCAGCAAGGCATACCTGCCAAAAGATTGGAAGAGGCACAGGACAGATGGCATCCCCACACCCTTGACATCCTCACAGCACGAAGGTGACCTCTGTGCCTGGAATACAGAGTGCGCTACAGACTTTCTTAGTAAATGTAGCCTCCCTCCAGAGAGTCGAGGTCAAACACCTCTAAGAACATTTGCAGGTTTACACGGTGACATTTGCAGGGAAATGAACTTGCTGTGCTTTCTAGAAGCGTCCTAAGAAAGGAGTAAATGCTTTAGTTTCTCTTTTCTTTTCCTTCTCATAAGACTCAGCTTCGAGTTTGAAAATCAACAGAGTCCCATATAGGCCCCAGGCTCCAAAAAGCCAGCCCATGCACCAAGGACAGGTCCCGGCTCCACTGCCTGGTGGCCTCCCAAACAGTTCAAGCTAATCAACTGTCTCACTCATCCAGAGAGCCTGGGGACACTTTGCTCAGCCTTGGTGTAAGGAGGAGGAGACTGGACCTGCCTAGGCTGAGTCTACCAAGCTGGGCTGACTCCCCAGGGGAGACCTTGCCTTGGAGGAGATGGGAATGGGGGGGGTGTATAGGGGCGAGGACTGGGGAGGAGAGGAGGGAAGATGGGGGAATCTGTGGCTATGTGAAATTAAGTTAATTATAACATAAAAATATTAAATAAAATAAAAAGAAAACCACCAGAGTCTAAAGAGCCTGCTTGGTCTTCCCCTGACTACTTCCTCTCCACCTTCATTCTCTGTGTTCATTCATGTGTTCTGGTTAATGGAGAAGAGGTAAGCATGGTGTAGGGCTTATGGGCTTTGCCTCTGGAATGGGAGGATGTGGCTTCCCGATACCGGTGACTTTATGAAATAAAAGTGCCCTGCTGAGTTTCACTCCTATCTGACATGCAGGCTTTAAACATGTCTATTTCTGGTGTGGTCACTAGGATAAAATGGATTCAAAGTATATAAAATACTCAACTCCATGCCTACTGGACTCTAAATGTTGATCACATGACCTCAGAGAACTGTGACCATGGATACTGTGATTATGTAAGTATGGCTTTCTTATTGAGACTATAGGAGGCACCTGCTTTAATTGATCTGGTTTGGTGAATTCAAGAGTTAACTCTGATGCATAACTGCTTCCTGTTTTAAAGACAGCTGTTTGCATTCTACCTGAAACCCACAGGAGCTTTTCTCTTGAGAAGGAAGAATGAACAATCAATCCACATTCAGTGTGAGCTGGGCATAGTGGTGCATGCTTATAGTTCCAGCACTTAAAAGATGGAGACAAAAAGATCAAGAATTCAAAGCTAACCTCTGCTACATAGGGAGTTCAAAACCAACCTGGGCAACATAAGCCCATGTTTCAAAACAAATAAATAAATAAATCCGTGTGAATTTAGTGGACTGCGGAGTTGGCTATCATTGTGGAAGACACTTGAAACCATAGATTTATTAGAGGAAAGGGTGTATTTTTAATCATAGTTTCAGATAGTTTGGATTGATTGCTCAATGGTCTTTCAGTTAATAGTTTTAGAGAAACAAGGCACATGCCAAGGAACACGTGATAGATCAAAGTTGCCCACCTAGCAGGAGCCAGGAACCAGAGAGAAGAGAAAGAGAGGCCAGGGTTCCAACACCCTCCTTAAGGGTTTCTTCCCAATGACATTTTTGCCTCAAACAAGAAAGCAAATTGTAGGAAGACCAATGGTAGATACGCTAATGCGGTTGATTTAATCTTCCTATGACGTATGCATAGGTCAAGATCTTCATCATACAGTTTAAATACACATAACACAAACAAAGACATATGCAGTTTCCCTTCATGGTCTAGAAGAGTTTCAGAAATGAGAAACATCTTTATTTATTGGATTTTGCATGTGTTATGCACTTGTGAAATTGCACAATGTTAGGACCAGGATCAAAGACAGCCATGAAGGATACGGAACTGCCAGGTGATTGGAAACAATGCAGCTCCAATGATGTGAGAGAAAATGATGTTCCTCTAGTGTCCAGACACTGGAGCAGGTCTTGTGTCATTGACCACAATGACAGAAAATCAAAGTGAACCCCATTAAGGGGAAAAGCCATCCATTTTCGTTAGCTCAGCAGGCACTGGACGCTCTCTCTTCCTAGTGTGAAAAGGATGGCGGGGCACTTGGAAAGATAGAGGTCTCCATTCAAATGACTGTGTTTGCACCTCCTGGAAAGGATGGATCTCTTTTAAATAGGAGAGATTGATTTTGAAAACAGTCCTCTTGGCTATGTTAGTTCCTCTCCTGCCTCCCATGACAAGAGGACATGCTTGGGTGAGGACCTTTGCAGTAAGCTGAGGTGAACCAAAACACAGGGACCATTTTTTAACAGCAAAAAAGCTGGCCAGCCTTATGTTTTCTAATGCTTGAATTCTGATCCATTAAACAGTGATGCCATAATAGGGGGAACTGGAGAAGACCAGAGAAATTGAGACTACAGAGAAATGAGAAATACATTCAAGAGTGCCTTACAACACTTTGTCATCGCTCAGAAAGGAGATGCAGACAGAGTGGCTTTCACTCTTTCCCCAGGTTCCCTGGTCTGCAGTTACCTGATGGTACAAACCGACTGGATGGACTTCATCAAGTGAGGTGAAAGTCTAAAGCAGCACCTGGGTAACTCAGGCTCCCCAAATGTGTGAGCTGCAACCCAGGCTCCCCAAATGTGTGAGCTTCAACTCAGGCTCCCCAAATGTGTGAGCTTCAACCCAGGCTCCCCAAATGTGTGAGCTTCAACTCAGGCTCCCCAAATGTGTGAGCTTCAACTCAGACTCCCCAAATATGTGAGCTGCAACCCAGGCTCCCCAAATGTGTGAGCTTCAACTCAGGCTCCCCAAATGTGTGAGCTGCAACCCAGCCCCTCCCCCCAAATGTGTGAGCTGCAACTATGCCGTGCAACGCAAGTCTACAGAGAACTTTCAAAATACGTTCATTTCTGTTTCATGTCAAATCTGCATCTGATTTCCCTGAACCATGCTCAGAAATGCTGTTAGGAAGGCATGCCCCATACAACATTTATCTGCCCATTTGGACTGGACTTTGGATCTGACTATAAATATGCTATGAAGTCAACTGCTACTGTGCCATAAAGCAAAGATGTACATTGATCTATTTAAATAAGACAAGGGACAGCGTGTGACCATCAGATCTCACAACCAGGCTTCACCAAGTACCACATGAAGAGGAGGAGAAGTGGGATATCCTTGAAGTGAACTGTTGCTGACTTTAGGTCACTTGGGCAGGTCTTAGGAACGGGATGGATTGTGGGTCTAGAGATTAATTTCAGAGGCTCTTTCCCAACTCAAGAATGAGAAGATCCAAGCCAGCTTAGCAGTCCTGATCACATGATGAGATGAGGGGATCAGAGGAGGTGTGTACCCATGTTATGGAACAATTCA